TCAGGAGAAGAGTTTAACAATTACTATGCACGTATACTAGGATTGAAACATATATAAATAAATGTCTGGATGGTGGGAGCTACTGATGGAGTAGAAGTTTTACAGATACATAAAGAAGGAAGACTAGAAAAAATCATTTAGTACTGGATTATGATGGGATACATTGATATGAATTCATGTTTAGTTTTATACAGATACAGATGGCTAAATATAGAAACAATTACAGATATGTGTTCATACATGGGTTAGTATACAGACATATATTTCCAAGTTCTGTTTGCTGAGAAGGCCTGGAAGCAATGACTTTCCAGTAGCAATGAGCACACCCAGAGTCCATATCTTGGTTTCTAATACCATTCTCCAATAAAAGGAACCAGGGCTTCTTGGAGAAATGACTAACTCAAAAGCAGGAGCAGGGAATACACAAGAGAGCTTGGACCATACTGTAGTAATAAAAAATAAGAAAGTGCTCAAGAAAAAATATCCAATGGGGTATTTCAAAGGGATGCAAGAACCAACTGAAAGAGCTCCCAGTGGCTAAAGTTGGAAAAATTGAGCAATAAAATAAATAACATAGTATTAGATTATAATCCAAACTACAAAATAAATATTCATGAGTCCATTCTGACATAAATACTTGATTGAATAATTTAATTAACGAGGAGGAGTTTATATAGATACTTCTCTTCACTCTCAAGAGAGTGGAACATAACTCTGACTCCTCCCCTATCCCTTATGCGTGGGCTAAATGTAATGATTTCCTTCCAAACAGTTCAGTATGGAAAAGGGAGGAAGATGAATAACTATAGTATGGAAACCTGAGAAACACTTCCTCAGCCATGTGAACAAGTTTAACATCAATAATTGATAGTATGTGCCCTTTGATATGATGTGATAAAAGTGGCACTTTACTTCTGTAGTCTTCCTCCTTGAAACTCATAAACCCTATCTAACCATTAGAAAAATATCAGACAGACCTAAATCAAGGGATATTCTACAAAATATATGACAACTACTACTTAAGGTCATCAAAAACAAGAAAAGTCTGAGAAAGTGTCATAGGGTAGGGGAGACATGACAACCAAATACAATGTGGCACTCTGGATGAGATTCTGGAACAGAAAAATAATATTAGGTAAAAACGAAATAAATCTGAAAAAAGCATGGACTTTACTTAGTAATAATGTATCAGTATTGGTTGTGACATTTGTTGTGACAAATGTACCATACAATATAAAATCTTTTTTTTTTTTTTTTTAGAGAGAGATAGAGAGAGCATGCGTGCATGGGGTGGGGGTAGAGGGAGAAAGAGAGAGAGAATCTTAAGCAGGCACCATGCCCAGCACAGAGCCCAATGTGGGGGCTCAATATCACAACTCTGGATCATGACCTGAGCTGAAATCAAGAGTTGGCTGCTTAACTGACTGAGCCACCCAGGCACCCAATAGTAATATAAAATCTTAACAACAGAGGAAACTGGGTGCTGGGTACATAGGAACTTTTGTACTATCTTTGCAACTTTTTTTGCAAATCTAAAACTACCCTAAAATAAAAAGCTTATTTTAAAAACAAACTAAAAAGAAGGGTGTGAATATGAGTATAACCTGAATTTAGCCCATAAATAATGTTTCAGAAGTGACTGTGATAATTACTTCACAAAGGCAAAGGAAGACAGAAAAATATCAAGATAGAAGCATCTACAGAATTGTGGAATGACTGTGAATATTTTGGTTTTACATCTGTGGGGACATATTACATATTACAAGTTTGGGAATAAACTTTCATATATGTGAAAATAATGCTCCCTTTTGTTTGATTTTTACCACCATTGCCCTATTTCTAGACTTTTTTACCCTATATATTCTAAAATTACCTTTCCATTCTCATCTCCCATTCATTTAAATAAACCTGTCTTCCAAGCAAACTGCTCTACTCACCACCTGCTAAATATCACAAGGCTCTTATGCTCAAAGTTGTTCCCCTCACTTGAATGCACTTTCCTCTTGCAGGTCTAACTATCCATTCTGAAGTTCTAACCATCTCAACAAGAGTTCTTTGGCTTTCCTTGATTTTCTCAGCTGAAAGAGATCCCATCCTCCCCGAATCCACAAAGTTGCTCTGTACTTCTCATGTCAATCATATACTACTTTGTATTACAGTATTTTATATATAGCTTCCCTATTGGTTATTAAATACTTTGAAAGTGGGGCCCTGATTTGTGCATCTCTGCATTTCCCATGCCTCCCTTCATATATTTACAGAAGGTTGAACTAATGAATTTTATCAATGTTGAATAGTCATTTTCAATTAAGGGAAAAACTTGAAACCAAGATCAACTGGATTAAATTAAAAATAAAATTTTAATTATTCATAACAGAAGTAATTTGATGGAAAGGGACTGCTACATTTCCCCTACATCTGTTATTATTGTGCTCTCTCCATTTGTGGTCGATAAAGCACTGAGTCAATGCATGTCGGGTAATACCTCTTGTGTGTGAGCCATTATTACAATAATTAATAACAATGGCAGCTCAGTTGATAGGAACTTGGCAATGTGTATATCCTTATCTTTAGAGTGCCAAATGGTTTGGAATTTGGCTTGTGAAACCATTTAATAGGAAAGTGTGTGTTTAGAATCTGTTCTTAGCTCAAAGACTGACCCTTATCTCTAAACTCCTTAATGAGAAAGCACCTGACAAATTGACTGGCATACTCCACACCTCCAAGTAATTTCCCTTCCTGCCAAATGAGTCTCCTGCAGTCTCCACTTCTAACTTAGAAAGTGTTGAATGATGAACAGTCTGAAGCCAATGTCTGAAGCTTCAGAAGGCACTCTTCAAAAGGTTATTTCACAAAGTAAAATTAACTTATTGAAAAGGTGGAAAATCAATCAATCTTTTTCTTCCCATTGTGCCAATTAACTACTTGATGAGTTTTACTTGGCTAAATTGACTGATGGGTTTAGTACTCCATAGCTGCCCCCAAAGGAACTTTCTTAATGATTGTCATGGAGTTCTTTTATTTAATGGAGTACAATCCCATAGAGCAGCACTGCAAATAAAAATCAAATGTATTATCAATCTTCACAAGTATTGTTTGAGTCTACTCATAAAGTTTATTGCTAATTTATTTGTTTAATAAATATTCAATAAATACCTAAAGTGGGTAGGATTTATATTGTGACCAAAATACAAAAAAAAAAAAAAAAGAAAAGAAAAGAAAAGAAAAGAAAAGATCTGGTGTTATTTCATTGAAAATAAATGCAAAAACTTTTAAGTGAAAAGAATTAATCAAAATGGGGCTGGAAAGACTATAATTACTGACTCTACTATCCTTATCAAGAGAAATAATTACTAGTTTATTACACCACAAAAACATTTCTATTGTGTGAGACTGTAATCTCAAAACAATGTGGAAATTTTGAAGATATTACACAACCTTTAAATTATGTGTCCAAGAATATTAGTTATGGAAAATGCTAAAAATACAAGTTTAAAGAGTTAAGAATTTAGTGGGAAATCAAGAATGGATAATGTAAGATAGCACTACTCTTTCCAAAAGCATGGCTGAAAAGAATGTCAGATCATGAGGACAGTATCTAAATGAGATCACAGAGTAAAGGGAACATAAAAAAAAAAAGATGTGTAGGTTCAAAAAAAAAAAAAATAAAAAAAAAAAGGGAACATAAAAAAAAAAAGATGTGTAGGTTCAGCCTGATTATTTTAATAAGCTGAGGAACAGTGCCAGGAGGGAAGAAGAGACCAAGGATCAGGAGAAAGGAGTAATTGATCAGACTGCATGAAAAGTATCAAGAGCAACACACAAGTTGTCCAAGAATAAAATGATGATTCTTCAGCCTTGAGACTGGAAGGAAGAGGAAAATATGGGTGGATACATAGATACCGTTAGAAGTAAAGTGTTTGATGAGAGGGTGAAGATTTGCAAAAGGGGTCAGCAAAATGAGAGGGGCAGATAACTAAAGATCAAAAAATACATTGCTGAGCAGGACTGGAAGGCCTACACATTCTAGGGGCACTAATATGGATGTGGTCTTATGATATTCTTTTGCTGTGCTCAACAGTTTGGGTATAATAATGGTAATAGCAATGTACTGTGATAAGCACTTTATGTAGATTGGCTCATTTAGTCTTCATAGGGAGTCTCTGAAAGAAGTACAATTATTATTTTAATGAAAAAATGAAGGCTTTCGAGGCTAAGAAATTTGCCTGTATCTACATACTATTATTTACTTGAACCCGGGCAATCCGACTTTAGAGACTGAGCTTCCGCAGGGTTGTTTAGGTTTGGAAGTACAATGTTTTAAATCAGAGACTTGGAATATTAAAGACCAACACAACAAGAAGTTTCAAAAATGCAAGGGGACTAAACTGTTCATGTCCATAATCATGCAGTCCAGGCTGAATAAGGAAGTAAGTCCAGGAAGAAAGACCATTGGAAGTGGAAGACCAAGGAATTCATGGTCTCTGAGTCTGGGGAAAAGTTGTAAAGGAGATGGAACTACGACAGCTCTATAGGAAGAGAAGATTATGGACAGAGAACAGGATGCTGGAGGTTTCTGAGGTGGTGTATTTCTAAGTGATGATACGGTTCAATTTGTGGCCATTGGTATGAGTAGCAGGAGGGGTAGGTGTAGACAGAAAATGAAGGACTCAGGAGGATTAAAGAAATTATGGTGGATTCCTATTTATATAGAACTGTGTTAAGACATATTTATTTCTAAATGATACTTTTCACTGAGCAGACCTTTACACCCCTGCTATAAGACAGAGTTCCAGGATTTCAGGACGTAGCAGTGGGCAAAACAGAAGTTGCTTCCCTCATGAAGTTTACATTCAGACATCCATATATCAGGTAGTGATAAATGCCTAAGAAAAAAAATTACGCAGATAAGGAGAATAGATACTGAGATAAGGGAAAGGGATATAACTGCTATAAAGGGTGATGAGGAACCAGTGAGGGGCCATTATGGCCAAAAGGATTGAGTAATCATTTTCAGAGATGGGGAGGAGTGTGTGGGAGGTGTACAGTTTTGTTAGGTCTGAGAATTAGGAGTTATATTTTTGAATTAGCAATACTCGAGCCTCGGATAAACCTCATTGGCTACGATACTGCCACTGTGCAAAGCTGGAGGTATATTTTTGACCAGCTAATTTTGAGATGTTCATCAGACATCCAAGAGGACTACTGAGTATTAAGTAAAGATTGGATATCAGATTCTGGATTTCATAGAGACATTCAGAAATCTGGGCTAGAGATATAAATTTGGGAGTTGTACAGATGGTACATAAAACTATGAAAATGAAGGTGATCATTAAGGAAGAGAGGGTAGATAGAGACATGAAATACTCAGATGACTATACGTAGGGACATTACTAAAAGATGGGGATATGCAAAGAATCCAGCAGAGACTGAAAAAAGAGACCAGAGGAAAAAGGAGGAAAACCAAAAAGATGGTATCATGGAAACCATGTGAAAATGTGTTTCAAGATGGAAGGATGATCACTTGAATCAAATATTGCTCAGGAGTTAAAAAAAGAAGAAGACTGAGACTTGACCACTGGATGGGGAGGCAATTAGTGGCTGGGACAAGCTGCCTGGTGGGTGATGGTTTAATAGAGGAGGGAGGAAAGGAAACAGAGTGAGCATCAACACATTTTCCTAGTTTTTCTATCGAAGAGAGCAGAGAAATATAGTGACGGTTGGGGAAAGATGTAGGATCAAAGGAATTTTTTAATGTTTAAGGTGGAAAAAGCCGCAGCGTTTGTAGGTTGATGAACGCTGCAGCTTCGCTGAGGCAGAAGTATGAGGCTGGGAGATCTCGGTGCAGGTGGAGGATTGTTCCTGGGAGCACAAACAATCCATCCATGGCTGCACCTCTAAAGCTGTTAAGAGGCTGGGATGCTAGCTAGTGGACTGGTGGCAGAAATACTATTTATTCAGGATCTGCATACATGGAATACTGCTAAACATAGTGTAAATTCCTTTGAGTAATGGTTAATGACATCGAACATGGAGGCTATACAGGGAATTACCCTTTTGCTATTAAGGAGAACATGACTGAATAGCTGAATGAGCAATGTTAATAAACTGTGACAATTAAAAATCTGCGTGGTAACCTATGAAATGGATATTTAGTGTGACTTTCCCTTTCAGAAGTGAGATTCTTTATTGAAAACTAGAGTGTGTGTAATGGGAGTTATCACCTACTCCCAATTCCCATCTCTTCTAACTGCAGAAAAAAAATCTGCTTTTCACCCATATTGGTGTTCTAATAATATTTCATGGCTGTTTAAAACTTCTCCCTCATAGCTTACCTCTGTAAATAGGACCTATTTTTGCAAACGGAGGGAAACTGTATATTCTTTCACCTTTTTATTTTCAGAAAATAAGGTATGTTAGAATGGAAAGAAATCTGAAATGGGAATCAGGACACTATGTTTCTTCCCCTGGTTCCACCAGTAACTCACTGGGAATTGGTTTCTTTTCTGGAAAATAAAGTAGTTGGACTGGAGGATCCATAAAGTCCCCTTTTGAATCCAAGTAATGAAATCATAACAATCTAAATAATTCAGAAATTCACAGCTAATGCCCTTTATTTTTATGTGCCCATAATATTCTATGTCAAGGTAAGTCACATTTATATTGTTGAGAGGTTAACAATCACCCATTGTGAAGATTAAAAGAGAAAATGTGAAAGAAATTCACAAACTGTAAAGTGAAATACTGTCAGTCATTAATAATGCATAGACACTGAAATATTACATCCAGATTCAGCTTTTACTATGTGGCTTTTGGGAGATTGAATAAAGTCAGTACACAAGGAATGTAAATGGGGAAGAAGGAGGTTTTACTCGAAGAAGGTGTACAATTGTTTTTTTAACTTTTTGTTGTTGTTGAAAAATGGCCTTATACTGTTACAAGAATAAAAAGACTTTAAGACCTAGGGAAAGGCATTGAGACAAGCACAAGGGATGGATGTACTGGTATTAATTTAACATCAAACAGTATGTCTGCATAAGAGTAGCATGGAAAGAAATATTGTCAGGTTTTATAAAATGCAGGGCTTTATTTTATTTTTTTGCAGGGCTTTATTTTAAAAACTAACAAAAACTAAGTAAATTGAAATTTTTAATTAATGTGATAATTTTAAGTTTCAAGGTTAAATCAACAATCCAAAAATTGTAATATAGTATCATAATTATATCCTTACTTCCTTCCAAAGTTATTCCTTTTTGCATAATTCTCATTTTTTCTGTTTGTACACATTCCTTTATTCATTCACAGGAAGAAATGTAATAATAAGCATATATCTGGCACTCATTTTTTCTTATAACAAGAATTGCGCTTTCCTGCTGGATAAACTATTGGAATGGATATGCTATAACACCGATAATAACAATGATAATCCCTTTTCGGTTTGCATAGCATTTCGGTTTGCATAGCATTTTTTTCAGGGCAGCTTCACAATTATCTCACTTTATTCCAGCAATGCCCCTTATTAGCCATATGAGCAGGAAAGTCACTCAACCTCCCTGTGCCATGGTTTCCTTATCTGTAAAATGGGGATAATAGTAATACTTTTCTCAATGAGTTGTGTGAAAATTCAATGAGGTAATTTAAGTAAAACATATTGTAATCATGTTGTCATAGTAAACATGTTGCCATTTATTATAACTGCTGTTCTTATTATTACTCCCCTCAGTGGTTTGGAGGTTATAAATATATCAGGTCCTAGTGCCATTTTGCAGTAGTCCCAGTGATTCATCAGGTGTCATAAACTCAAATGTCTAAAGCTGTCTGACAGTATTATAAATGAATACCTCATGCTAGGGGCAATTGTGGGACATAGAATAGCTCACACCTCTAAAACCAGCAGATCCTACTCAGTCCCAGGCAATGCTGTCATACAGGAATACAGTCCTAGTATTGCCACACTGTCTAACTTCTTAAGAAGGTAGAAATTTAGATTTTTATTTAATTTCCTGACTTAAAAAAGGTTGGTAAATTATTTGATTTTTGGTAAAAAACAGATGGACCAAATACACGAAAGTTTGTGGATGGCCTTGGACCATGATCAACAGCTTCCTTATGGGGTCTCATTACTGAAGTGTGCATTATAATCTTGATATAATCTTAATGGACTATAAAAATTAGGGAGTCATGGTTAATTGGAGGATCAAAGCACCATTAAAAACAGATATGTGAGCTTCTCAATGGGCATTAATAATGAATGGATTGGAAAATCTAACATAATAGATGAAGATCAAAGAGGCAATGTGTATACCATGGATATGATCCCTACAGGGCACCTGGATCTACAAGGATGCAGATGGTAGATTACCCGGTCTCTGGGGAGAAAGGATGAAGAGCAGGATAGTAAGCAGGAAGATAGTAAATGCAGCAGGGCTGGTGGGTGAGGGTGAAAAAAACCCTAACAAAATGAAAAAAACACACAGGTCTTCCAGACACCAACGTCCATGCTTTTCCATGGTGTCAAGCTGCTTCTAAATTAAATTAACAATTGTACAGCTCTTTTCAATCCACAGAACATTAGCTGAGCCCTGCTTGGGGATTCCAATATAGTATTTATTGGCATTTGAAATTCAGGTGATGATTATTGATGCTCTGCCTGTGTTTAGGGAGGTAGATGTTGAAGGTACCATTTTCAAGCCAGATAAATGTGGTTCTCTGACCCTATTGACAGGAAAAAAACTTGTTAGTAATGCAGACAAGTAACTTACCTTTGATGTGATTCGATTTTATAGAACCTACCATTCTTTATGACTTCTTTAAAAAAACATTTTAAATCACTTAAGTCCCAGTTCTTTGATGATTCCTTTATCACAGAGGGAGACTCTTAGATAATTGAAAAGGGATGAGTCATAATGAGTTTTCACTGATGCATGTTGCTTCTCATCACTAATTCCACTGATATCCTATAGGCAACATAAAGAGCCTCTCATCTCACTGATTGGTGGCATGAAAAGGCCTACGTCTGACACACAGAGCTTGACTCTGTCCTTTCTGAACTGGATGAGCTTGCCTAGGGACAGAAAGGAGAAGGCCTTTGCTCTTTGACCCTCCTTCCCACAAAAGCTCTAATCTAGTCAGTTTTATTCCTGGTGGACTGGAGAATACCCAGACGCTGTGCTCCATTATTATCCTTCCAGACATTTGTTCCACATTTGCACCTGCTCTCAGTTGCTATTCCCATGGGACAGTTAGAAGACTTAGCTAAACATGGTGTAATTTCACATTTACGGCAAAAAGCAGTCTCTTTGTTCTTGAAATATTAGCTATTCCATCATCAGTTCACCCGATATTTAATCATAAGACAGTGCTGCATTTCAGTCCCACAGGCAATTGAAAAATGAGTGTTTAAAAATATTGCAAACAATATAGGGATCTTTTTCCCCTCAGTTTTGCATCCTCAAAGTCTACAGCTCCTGATGACTATAAAGTACTCAATAAATGTTTACTGAACAAAATCAAAATCTTAAGGAATTGTCATTCCAGGAATGGTTGTATATATTTATGGGTTTTAAAGACACGTTTATATTTAGGTAACTTCATGAATTTGGGGTCTGATTAGGGCACTATTGAATTAATACAGTACTCCACTGATATAGAATAGAGAATTCTGGTGACTATAACCATCTGGAAATACAACCAGAATTCTACATATAATTGAACTAAGGCTTCTAAACAAGAAGGGAAAGAAACTGTCACGAAGCCTATGCACATTACAGGAAATGTATAGGAGAGCTTGGTCTTTAGTTTCTTCATCTTCAATTCTTCTCTGTCAAGAGAAGAGATTTGTTCTATTATGAAATAAGTGGTACTAGTGAGAGAATAGCGAGAGTAGCACTATGCTGAGCCATGTTGGAGCCCAAGATGAAAGGAAAAATCAGTAATATTGATTTTGAATTTTTAAATACTTTGATAACTTCTGCTTGTCATGAATTTTATTAATTAATTTCGAGTTTTAAAAAGATTTTTTATTAAAATATTTATCTGGGGGTGCCCCAGTCATTTAAGTGCCTCACTCTTGATTTTGGCTCAGGTCATGATCTTGGGGTCATGCGATAGAGCCCCGCCTTGGGCTCTATGCTGGCTGTGGAGTCTG